TGTAATATGGTGTAAACCGTATGTATGATTATGATTCCCCTGCCCAAAACTTCCCTTTCTTCTTTCTGTATCCCAAAAATCAATACAAACTGTCAAATTGAAAAATAAAATATTCAATATTTTGAAATATTCTTCAATAATTATATATATTTTTATACACAAATATTTTCTATGTATGATATGATTGATAGTTTAATATTTTGAAAAAAAATATTTTAAATGTTTATCCAAAAATATTAAATCAAGGCATAAAATGTTTATTTGCACCCCTTTCTCCCAGTTTTTCCCCTGGCACCAGGAACGGCACTTTGAATCACGAATGAAAACAATAGATGTTCGGGATTGCACAAGTGGGTCCTTCTAAAATTCTGGTGCAGGGTTCCTTAGAATTTAGTATTTTGGTTGGTTGCCAGATCTGCTCTAATTTGGGCAAATTTCAGTTCTGCCCAAAACAAATAACCAAGTCTAGTTAAAAAACACATTACTGTGAATATTATTGTTATGGAGCTCTGTTATAAACTTAGACACACCAAAAAGAGGAACATTAGACTAGAAAGGAGAGACAGAGCGATTTGGGACAATTAAAGAGGCAGTCTTTATATTCTATTTACCCTTCACTGTGAAGCTGTTTGCGAACAAAATCAAAATCAGGTTATATTGGGAGTCCTGGAAAGTAATGCTTACATGTATTTTTAAATACAGTAGGCATAGCTAGCACATTATTTATTGTAAAAAAATAAAAATTTTGATTGGACAAAAATACCTGTAAAATTATTTAACAATTAATGAAGTTAGATATGAAAGCAGTCTCCCACACACACTCTGTAATCAACTTAACCCCTTAAGGACAGTGGGCGTTCTATGCCGTCATTAGGGAACTGGCTGTAAATGCCGGAGGCGTCCTTTGTACTTACCGGTCCCCCGCGATCCTACTCCGGCGATCACGGTATGGGGACTTACCTGGGAGCCCAGGGAGTTCCCCTCTTTCCTCTTCGCCCCCCCTGGGCCATGTGATCGCCAGTACATGACAGGTACTCCCCCTGCTGCCTGTAAAAAGTAAAAAAAATAAAGTTAATAACAGTTTAAAATAAAATATATACTTAGAACATATATATATATATTTATTATATATATATATATATGATCTAAATATATATGCACACATACACATACACTGTCTAAGTGTATTTTAATATATATAATTATAAATATATATTAATATCAAAATACAAGTACAATGATATTGATTAAATATATGTATAATTTTCGTTATATATATTTTTAGATATAATATACAAATAAATATGTAAATATGTTAAAAATAATAATACAAAATATATATATGTGTAAATTCATTCTAGCTGTATTTTAAAATGAATATATATAGATATCAAAATATATGTAGGACGAAAGTATATACGTATATATCACTATATATTATTATTATTATTATGATATTTATAGAGCGCCGTCAAATTCTGCAGCGCTTTACAATGGGTGAACGAACAGACATGTAGTTGTAACCAGACAAGTTGGACACACAGGAACAGAGGGGTTGAGGGCCCTGCTCAATGAGCTTACATGCCAGAGGGAATTCTGTCAATCTCGCATACACAATTTTTTCAAGGATCTTGGATGCAAAAGGCAGTAGAGAGATAGGACGATAGTTGGATGGGGAATGGAAATATACCAGAGGAGAGAAAGAGATTGAGGATTTTAGTGAGAGGTGGAGAAAGAGAAGAAGACAGAGTACGGATGAGATGCAAGGGAATTGGATCTAGGGAGCAGGTGGTGGGGCGGGAGGACTGGAGCAGAGCAGAAACTTCTTCCAATGTAGCGGGTGCGAATGAACATAGAACAGCAGAGGGAATGAAGTTAGGGGAAGTATTGTAAGAGGAAGAAGAAAGATGAGATGTCTCTACCCTGATTGTAGAGATCTTGTCAGAGAAGTGAGTTGCAAAGTCTGAGGTGGTCAAGTTAGTAGGTGGAGGAGGAACAGCATGGCGAAAAAGAAAGTTAAATGTGTGAAATAGTCGTTTGGGTTCACGGGAGAGTGTGGTTATGAGGATATTGAAGTGATTAACTTTTGCAGAGGAAAGTGCCACTCAGCATAAATTTACAGTGGAGAAAGTCAGATGCCCAGTGAGACTTTCTCCAACAACGTTCAGCAGTTCTGGAGCATTTTTGGAGGTATCGAGTGAGCTTGGTGTGCCAGGGTTGTTGTTGGGGGGGCCTGCGGCATTTAAATGTACAAAGTGCCATTATGTCTAGTTGAGAGGAGAGGGTGGAATTGTAGAAGGAGGTTGCAGAACTAGGACAGGTGAGGTTTGAGATAGGTAAAAGGAGAGTTTGGAGATTAGTGGAGAAATGCTCTAGGTCAAGACATTGGAGGTTTCTGTGAGAGTGATGTTCAGACGGTGGTGTCAATTGGGTCTTAGGTATGCCAATGTCAAAAGTCAGCAGATGGTGGTCAGATAGAGGAAAGGGAATATTGGAGAGATTAGAGGCAGTACAGAGGTTGGTGAAAGCAAGATCAAGAGTGTTTCCCGCTGTATGTGTTGCTAGATTGGACCATTGCGTAAGGCCAAAGGAGGAGGTTACAGAGCGCAGACGAGAGGCATCAGTGCAATTGGGGTTATTGATAGGGATATTGTATAAGGGAAGGAGTGCTAGATGATAGGAAGTGGGGAAGCCAGGAAGAAAAGTGCTCAATGAATAGTCTAGGATAACCGGGGGGGTGGGGGGGAAGGGGTAGATCATAGCAATTCTTAAAGGAGTGGGTTTAAATAGGCGGACAGTGTGAACTTCAAAAGAAGAAAAGGATAGGCAGGGGGAGTTATGATTAGTTGAAAGGTACATTGAGGGGAGAGAAGGATGCCTATGCAGCCTCCTTTACAGTTGAGTCTGGGAGTGTGAGAGAATTGTAGCACTTTATACTATATATACCTATCTATAAATAAAAATAATTTAAAAAAATGATATATATATATATATATATATATATACACACACACACAAATATATATATAATAATTCTACGTATATATTTATGTAATAATTTTACATAATTAGATCATTTTATTATTTACCATTTGCCTGACAACCCAGGCCAAAAGTCCAGGGAATTTGCTAGCACTATATTTAACCCTGTAACTTTCCAATACACCATAAAACATGTACATGGGGGTTACTGTTTTACTCGGAAGACTTCGCTGAACACAAATATTAGTGTTTCAAAACAATAAAATGTATTACAACGACGATATTGTCAGTGAAAATGATTTTTTTTGCTTTTTTCACACACAAATGGAACTTACATGGACGATATAATTGTTGTGATACGTTTCACTGTTTTGAAACCCTAATATCTGTGTTCAGCGAAGTTTACCGAGTATTACAGTACCCCTCATGTACAGGTTTTATGGTGTTTTCAAAAGTTACAGAGTCAAATATAAGGCTCGCGTTTCAGTTTTTTCACATTGAAATTCCCCAGGTTGGTTATGTTGCCTTTGAGACCGTACGGTAGCCCAGGAATGAAAATTACCCCCATGATGACATACCATTTGCAATAATAGACAACTCAAGGTATTGCAAATGGGGTATGTTCAGTCTTTTTTAGTAGCCACTTAGTCACAAACACTGGCCAAAATTGGCATTCAAATTAGTTTTTTGCATTTTTCACACACAAACAATAATTAACACTAACGTTGGCCAGTGTTTGGCTACTAAAAAAGACTGGATATACCCCATTTGCAATACCTTGGGTTGTCTACTTTTCCAAATGGTATACCATCATGGGGGTAATTCTTATTCCTGGGCTACCATACAGTCTCAAAGGCAACGTAACCAATCGGCCAAATTTCAATGTGAAAAAAATAGTAAAACGTATCACAACAATTATATAGTCAGTGAAAGTACCGTTTGTGTTTGAAAAAAGGAAAAAACTTCATTTTTACTAACGGACATCATTGTTGATATATGTTTTACTGTTTTTAAATCAGGTGAATTTCAATGTGAAAAATGTAACATGCTATATTTGACCCTGTCACTTCCCAAAACACCATAAAACCTGTACATAGGGGGTACTGGTTTTGCACATGAGACATCGCTGAATACAAATATGTGTATTTTATTGCATTAAAAATAAACAATATTATGCCACTCACAGTTAAAATGTCACATAGAACAAAAAAAAATTTTAAATTCTTATTTTTCCCATTTTTTTTATATTTTATTCATATTAAATTATGTTTCATACCTAAATATTTGATGTTAAATGAAAGCCCTGTTTCCCCTGAATAAAATGATATATAATAAGTGTGGGTGCACATATAATGTGAAAGAGGCGAATTGCGCCTGAACAGACCTATATCGCAAATTTAAGTTTTTGTTTTTACATTTTGTTTTGATCACAACCTGTACATTTGGCTCAGTCCTTAAGTGGTTAATAAATATTATCCTGTATGTACTTATATTGTGCTATATATATGTGAAATAACAAAGATGGCTTGCATTCAGTCTGTTAAAAATCCATGCTTTATTTGAAATGTGATTAAAAGCGAGATCGACGTTTCAGTCCAAGCTCGGGACTTTCCTCAGGATTATAATGACATACATTGTAATTCAAGCCTATTTATAGTCTATCCTTTAAAAAATTAAACTTAATTAAATACAAATGAAAAAGATATGATAAAGTAATAGACTTACCATCGAGTAAATAACGAGTGTGAAATCGGAGTCTCCCACTGCCATGTAAGCGTGTTTATGCTCCATGCCTGTGTTACATGCAAACGTTCCTACTGTTGCCATAGTGGCAAGGGTTGATCGATGTCACCAAGAACTGTACATAACAACGGAACCACTCAGTGTGATCAGCAAACTAAAGCAGACTAAAAAAGTAGTGTTACATCCTGCTTAATAAGGAAGTGATGTATTGCAATTTGCTATTTATTTAGTCAACATTTAAGTTTCTTTTAGATATATATATATATATATATATATATATACACAGAGTATGCAAAGTTTTGAGTGTGTGTGTGTGTGTATATATATATATATACACACACACACACACTCAAAACTTTGCATACTCTGGCAGAAATTGTGAAATTGTGGCATTGATTTGGAAAATATGACTGATCATGCAAAATATTTCTTATATTGAAGGATAGTGATCATATGAAGCCATTTACTATCACATAGTGTTTTGGATACTTTTTAAAGCATAATGATAACAAAAATCACCCAAATGGCTCTGATCAAAAGTTTACATACCTTTGAATGTTTGGCCTTGTTACTGACACACAAGGTGACAAACACAGGTTAAAATGGCAACTAAAGGGTAATTTCCCACACCTGTATCTTTTTAAATTGCAATTAGTGTCTGTGTATAAATAGTCGATGAGTTTGTTAGCTTTCATGTGGATGCAATGAGCAGGCTAGATACTGAGCCATGGGGAGCAGAAAAGAACTGTCAAAAGACCTGTGAAGCAAGGTAATGAAACTTTATAAAGATGGAAAAGGATATAAAAATATATTCAAAGCCTTGAAAATGCCAGTCAGTACTGTTCAATCACTTATTAAGAAGTGGAAAATTTGAGGATCTCTTGATACCAAGCCAAAAAAGGTCAGGTAGACCAGGAAAGGTTTCAGCCAGAACTGCCAGAAGAATTGTTTGTGATACACAGAAAAACACACAGGTAACCTCATGAGAAATACAGGCTGCTCTGGAAAAAGACGGTGTGGTTGTTTCAAGGAGCACAATATATATTATACTGTATGTACTCATATTGTGTTATATATATATGTATTATAACATAAAGGTGGCTTTATTTGAACAAAAATGAGCTGCATGGTTGAGTTGCCAGAATGAAGACTCTACTGCACCAATGCTACAAAAAAAGTCCATTTACAATATGCCTGACAACACCTTGACACACCTCACAGCTTCTTGCACACTGTAATTTGGAGTGACTAGACCAAAATAGAGCTTTATGGTCACAACTATAAGCATTATGTTTGGAGAGGGGTCAACAAGGCCTATAGTAAAAAGAATACCATCCCAATACCAATTCTGTGGTGGCTTACTGATGTTTGGGGGGTAGGAGGGAGAGCTCTAAAAGCACAGGGAATCGTGTGAAAATTGATGTCAAGATGAATGCAGCATGTTATTAGAAAATACCGGCAGGCAATTTGCATTCTTCTGCACAAAGACTTCACATGGAACGCTCTTGGACCTGGAGGTATTTTGCCAAGATGAATGGGCAGCTACATCACCTGCAAGAATTAGAGGCCTAATAGACAACTATTACAAAACTGCACGCTGTCATTGATGCCAAAGGGGGCAATACACAGTATTAAGAACTAAGGGTATGCAGACTTTTCAACAGGGGTCATTTCATATTTTTATTGTTGCCATGCTTTGTTTTATGATTGTGACATTCTGTTATAATCTACAGTTGAATATCAACCCCTTTAGAAATAAAGAAATGTGTTTTGTCTGCTCACTCGTGTTTTTTTTTTATTTTTTTTTTAAATGGTTCATATATTCAAATTCTCCAAGGGTATGCAAACATTTAAACACAAGTCCTGCGAGAGAGCGCAGGTAACTTTTTTCTTTGGTTTTTAACTATATATTGGGGCTGATGAGTATTGTGGTCATTGCTGTCGCCCAGGAGTGATGGGAGTGAGCGCAGAACTTATTTTTTTGTATTTGTATTCACTTTTTGTATCACACAGCTTTGTTACAATGCAGCCGCCCATCCCATGTTTTCCCTATTAAGGGTTAATACGTATATAGGGGTGTACATAAAAAATACCCCTCTCTGTCTCAGTGGAGATTTCTTTGCCAGAAGCTCAAGGAAGCAGGGTGAAGGGTCAGTGTAGGACCAGCTTAGGGGGTCTACTTGACTTTGGCAGGCGGGCATTCCCTCCAATGGCCATTGGAGTAACTAAATGACCTCCATTTGTCTAAATATACATAGGGATTAAGGAGAGCGCAAGTAACTTTTTTCCTTTGGTTTACAACTGTATATATAGTCCCTTGTATACTGTATATGTTACCACATTACTCTCTTTGTGCATTCATTATGCTACTTTGGACACACACAAAAATACAGGCACATAAAAGCTCTGCAACACACACACATACACACACACACACACTATATATATATATATATATATATATATATATACACATATACATATACCCTGATAAACGCACACAAATACAGTCTCTGACACATGTACATGCACACAAACAAACACACTGATGCACAGAGACTCACATATTGACTGTTATAGACTTAATTTAAAGTGTGTGTCTAACAGGGTGTATATGGATGTTTGTATTTCTGACTGAGTGGGCCTTGGTGTGTCTGGCAGTGAGAAATGTTATGTGATTGTAAATGCATATCTCTGTGTCTGTGAGCGTGTGTATGTCTGTCTGTGAACATATTTGATTTTAGGAGCTACTTGTCATGTGTATGCTGTGCTTATGAGAAGATGAGTTGTGTGTGAGGAATTATTATCTTTAAAGGGTTGCCTGTGTATGAGAGTGACTATGTATGAGAGTGCCTGTGACAGAGGTAAGTGTGATAGGGTAAGTGTGACAGGATCAGTGTGGGGTGACTATGTGGGGGGGGGGGCTGAATGACAGGATGACTATATCATGTATAGACAAGGTCTGTAGTGAAGAGGTTAAGATGAAAATGTTTCAGTTCTATTTCTAGTATAATATATTAATAACAATTAAGTCATTTTCTACGTCTTTTAAATTACACCTTTTTTAGATATTTTCTCTTCCAATTACAGCCATTAGGCCCTTTTCTTTCAAACCAAGTTATTTATGTCCATGGTAACCAGAAGGGGTGAATGCATTATTTTCATGTGAAAAAGGGTTGTAAAATTACCTATACTTTATCTTTAGCTTTTGCATCCTTTCTTTTAAAAGGATTCATGTCGCCCAATTGCTTTATATAAATGGCACTATGAAATTGCATGTTGCATTTTTTTAATTTAATTTTCATTTTTATTAAAGATTTTCTGTATGCAAACAGACAGTACCATACATTACTAAATTCAATGATATGTTCAAGTACAAGAAATAATTGACATTTGGGTAAAGATGCATGTGTTATTTGTGTACTGTATGTAACATGTATGAACGCTGTAAATCACTGGTGGATTTCTACAAGAGTACTTGCACATTTGCTACATTTAAACATATAGATTATTTTCTATTATTATTCTCAGTGACAGAACTAATGAACAGAGAGCTCAGTGCATGAATGTTTTTGGGGCTTACCACCTTTTGTTCACTGCACTGAAAATAATGTTCTAAACAGCATAATCACTCCAATGATGTAGTGGTTATGGTATCAGTATTCCACAGATGCCATCTGATGCTAGTATTAAAACAATTACATATTTTTTGTCACTTACCTGGCTCTGTTGGATGCCTGCACTGCTTCGAGAAAGGTGAGCATTGCAACCCAATCAGAGAACTTTAAAGTGAAGGATGGACTTTCCCAAATTGATAGCACATGTTGTGCTTGGCCTTTCAGGGAACTCTTGGATTTTTTATTTTTTTTGCAACTGCAATTTATTTTTGGCACTTTGTTTTTTTAAATTTATAGGATTCATAGCTAATAGTGGCTTCTTGTTATGTCTGAAGAAAGAAGAATTGAAAAAAAAATATGTTTAAAGGGATTTATGATTTGATTTTTTTTGTGCAAATAGATTTATTGGCCCATACTCACTTATTAGGATTAGGGGTTAGGTAGGAATTTCATTCATTAAAGAGCGCTTCTAGGGGTTTGGTTTGATCCTTATACGCTTTTTTTGTAAATTATTGTGGAGGCTGGAAAGCAAGTGCTAGCAGCACACAAATTGTTTGACTCATCCATTGCCCTTTTTGGAGTTTAGAATTTCAGACAAATCATTGAATCGCACAACTTTTAAATTAATTGTGATTTGTCCAAATTCTGACACAAGTTATATAAAATTATAGACACAAGTCTATAAACAAACATAGGTTTGGGAAGTGTGAAAAATAAAAACAAATATAGAAATCCACACCTTTAAATAAACTCCTTAGTGATAAAAACACTGAGTATAAATAGATATTGCTTTGCTGCAGAGGGATTTGGATAGATTGGGGGACTGGGCACTAAAATGGCAGATGAAATTTAACGTAGAGAAATGCAAAGTTATGCACTTCGGGGTTAAGAATGCACAAGCAATTTATACACTAAATGGTAGTGAATTAGAGATAACCACACACGAGAAGGATTTGGGAATTGTTATAGACAACAAATTAGGCAGAAATATGCAATGTCAATCTGCAGTTGCTAAGGCCAGTAAGGTTTTGTCATGTATAAATAGGGGCATGAATTCTCGGGATGAAAATATAATTTTGCCTCTTTATAAATCGCTGGTAAAACCACACCTTGAATATGCTGTGCAATTTTGGGTGCCTGTTCTAAAGAAAGATATCATAGCACTAGAAAAAGTCCAGAAACGAGCAACAAAATTGATAAAAGGAATGGAGCATTTTAGTTATGAAGAAAGGTTAAAAAAATAAATCTGTTTAGTTTGGAAAAACGACGCCTTAGAGGGGATATGATAACTTTATACATATATATTCGGGCCAGTACAAACCTTTATCTGGAAAGCTATTCATAAACAGGGCTATACAAAGGACACAAGGTCACACATTTAGGCTGGAAGAAAGGAGATTTCATCTAAGGGAAAGAAAAGGTTTTTTTACAGTAAGAGCAATAAGGATATGGAATTATCTGCCTGAAGAGGTGGTTTTGTCAGAGTCACTACAGATGTTTAAACTGCAATTGGATAAATACTTATAAAAACATAACATAAAGGGATATCATTTCTAATTAGTGGGGTAATAGATGCTTGATCCAAGGAGACATCTGACTGCTATTTTGGGGTCAAGAAGGATTTTTTTCCTAGTTTGTGGCAAAATTGGAAGCACTTCAGACTAGGTTTTTTGCCTTCTTTTGGATCAACAGCAACAGCATATGTGAGGAAGGCTGAACTTGATGGACGCAAGTCTCTTTTCAGCTATGTAACTATGTAACTATGT